TAATCTGAAAAAAGAAGTTCTTTTTTGTATAAAAAAAAACATTGGTATTTCCTTAATCACTTCAGATTTGTATCGTTTTTGTAAAACTAGTAGTTATTCATTACATTTACTTTTTCATTGTATTAAATTTTCACACATTAGCTTGGAATTTAATTATAATCTTACTTTTGTTATTTATAAAAATGATATTGTGTGGAATTATTTTGTTAAAGATGTATTGACTCATATGTTTTTTTAATTTTATAATTTGTTAAACAAAATTTTAACTAATGTATTCTCCCCCATTCCAGTGGGTTATAACCTTTAAGGAATTAATAAATTGAATTTGATATCACCATTACACTCACATACAATGTTCCCTCTAAGCTGCGTGACTGCGCAGCCGCGCACTGCTCAAATTGTTGCCGCGCACGAGAATTTATGTGCCGCGCAGGCGAGCATGCACACCAATTTGAATTGTTGTTTACTTATTTCTCACTCTGTCTGCAACATGATTATTGCTGCGTATATTTCCATTAAATACATTAAATCATTGACAAAAGATAGTATTTCGTATAAAAGTATGTTTTAAAATGAATTTAATCTCTACTTTATAATTAATTATTTTAATTTTTATAGGAAAAAATAAGATTTTATATATATGCTCAGAAAAATTTTTTGCTCAGAGAAGTATATGTTNTCAAATGAAATTGTACTGTACATATGTGAGCAATGTTCCCTCTAATTTTTTTTGTCGATGAGCGGAACATATACTTTTCTGAGCAAAAATTTTTTTTGCTCAGAAAAGTATATGTTCCGCTCATCTACAAAAAAACTTAGAGGGAACATTGCTCACATATGTACAGTACAATTTCATTTGATTCCAACAACCCCTTCTTGATATCATAACTTTTATGGCAATGAGTATATATAATATAAATATGTAAATTTTTTGAAAAACATCTAGTGCCTGTGTGACTACCGAAGTATACAGACTTATACCCCGTTTGCACTGAGCATTTCAATCTAGATTGTGACCAAGGTCAGTGACAATGCCTTGGTGTGACCTCTGTCGACTGTTTCAATCTTGACTGAAACGAGGTTCAATCGTGATTGACTCAAGAGAGTTCTTGAAACTAGATCCAGTCATACGAGAGATCCCACAATCCCATGCTCGCAAGAAAATACAAGATGGGTGCAGAACACATGTCAGTCTATCATCAGAGAAATAAAAAAGATACTGTATTTGGAGAGATGGTGACATCTGTCTGTTATTAGATGTATGGCAAGAAAAAGTACTGTATTTATTTCTAACCAAAACTTCCATTTTGTTTGTTGGTGTTCATGACTTACCGTGTAGTTATGTCAGTTTTATCATCACGTGTAATAACCAGGTTCTTCTCAAGCAGACTGCCTGTGAGAACAGTACAACGTTCAACTGGCGACAGTCACAATCCAGATTGTAGGTAAATCGAGATTGAAGTGAGTCGTGGATTGTGTGCAAATGTAGTATTAGGGTTGGAGTAAGAGTAACGAGGAACCTTATAATTTGAACACACCTTACTAATTGGTTATCAATAAACTTTGTATTGCTAATGATCATATACACATACAAACCTATGTGACACGCATTAACAACTTAATCATTACTGTCATCCAACAATCCGGAAGTTACCGACGCCTTATCTTGAAGGAATCTCATACACAGGTACAAGCCATGACATATTAATAATAATTAAATACAAGTATGTACAAGGACGATCGACATATGCTGATCCACTTGAAGAAACATGGGATAAGGCTAGCCCCCAATGATTATTATATTAGCCCTGTGGGTGATGTTTCTGTTGAAGGTTCACCGTCAATTTTTGAGACAATAATCTAGTATCTAGACTAATCTGGTTATGTCCTTTCTTAATATTGATCAATCTGATCACATTCTAATGTCAATGCAAGTGGATTCAGACTCTGTATTGTCGCTTCTTCTAGTACTTTCACCCTTAGTGTCCGACCCCTTACCTCTCCCTTCTCTTCCTTCGGCGATCCTAAGTTCTCTCAATCAATTCAGTGAGAGCAAGCTGGAATGAAAGACAAGAAAAAGGTCTATCTACTTGGTGCAAGCTTGCTTTTATACCTTCCCATCATCCGGGGCTCCAGATGACAAACATGTGACACTGGTCACCCAACCACAAGTGATGTGACACTACCATCCAGGTGGTACGAGACAAATGGAATTTTTACAAACACACTTGATAACCCAACAATTTATAAATCGTGATGCAAATTAACTGAAAGCTATGTTACAATTACAGGATAATATAACAGAAACACTAGTTGTGGAGCACTGCACATCTTTAAAAATTAACTTTATCAATAGTTTAAATTAACAATATTATCTGTAAACTCATTTGTTAATTATGAAATTTAAATCTACTCAAAGTAACAAGATAAAGTACTTCAAATTCTTTTTAAAAATTTTAATTATTTTTTAAGATTGTTTATTTGTAGATTTTTTTGATGTAATTTATTAAATTTTGTTTTGTTTATTTTGTGTGTTCCTTCCCAGACTGGAGGAAACCTACAATATCAATAAAAAATCAATTCATTGAGTGATTAATTGATATTTTCATTTTTAAAATTCATTTACATTTTTAATATTTACTTAATACTTGAATTATAACCAGGTAAATGAAGATAAACAGAAAGGAATCAAAGAAATTGTTGAAATTGAAGATTTGCCAGAATCTCCTTCTGAAGAAGATATTAATGCTGTGCAAAAATCTATTGTTAATAATATAATGTTACAAATGGATTATGATAGAAAAACAACGGCTCTTAAGCAACTTCAAGGACAAATGTGGAGAATTGGCTACAAAAATGGTGAAATAAAATCACAGTAGGCTGTATAATAAATTTTTTTAATCTAAATTTTATTTTAATTTTAATATGTTATAATTCTATCATATTTACAAATAGAAAGAGTGAATTTCAAACTTTATATTGTAATAATCCAGATGTTTAATCAACTCATTTGTAGAGCCAATTATTTGAATAATTTTCCATATGCAGGAACTTACAAGGTCTGAGATTATGCTTATTCTCCAACGTNATTATTTTAGTTATACTTTTTTTTTTGTCTAAAACCAGTTAAGAAGTAAACAAATATTTTTATTACTTATTTTATTTCTCTTTTATTATAATAAAGTCACAACTATATATAAAATGTATTATTTTTGAACAATATTTAAAAATATATAAAGCAATTTATGATTGTGTAGAAATAATTATCTAAATTGTTGTGTCCTTGAACACTGTAGTTTGCCAAATTACATATAAGTTTTTAATCTTTATGTGCCAGATATTTGATTATTTTATCTTTTTATAAATTTATAAATAAAAAATAGATCTAAAACATAGTTGTTATAATCTGTTTAAAGCATATTTATGTTAAGAAATTTAGATAAGATAAGAGAAAATATTTTATTGGTACATATTTTATATTTTATCAAAAAAATTATCACAATTTTTGTATTATTTTGATTTTCTCCCTATAATATATACTAGTTTTAAATTATATTTTAATTAAACAAACTGTAACCTTTTTACAATGAGATTAGTTTTTGGATTATCCAGTTTAGGTAGTTTATATTTTAATTTAATTACACTTAATTCTAGTCATGTTAAAGATTTGTATTTGATTTTTGCTTTTCAATGAATCAATTATTATATATCATTATTAAAACTATGCTGAAATTGTATTTTTACTGTTGTAATTTTAAAGTGAAATTGCTAATGAATCATATTTATTTCTTTTGTAGTTTGTCAGTTGTGCTTATAGCAATTACTTAGTATTGTTTCACCATCTTTTCTTAGTAATTTTAATTAATTAGGTTTCACAATAGGAATTTAGATGTTTATTCTAATTTATTTTAAACAAGTTGTTTCACTTGTTCTTTATTATTTTAATCTGCATTATTCCAGAATTATTAGAAAAATCTCAATGAAAGATAAATAACAGAACTTCTTAATCTTTGGATTTATAGATGAAACAACTTCTGTGATTCAGATAACATTCTGGAAATGGCTAGTTCCTTACAAAAACAGATATATTTTAAATATTCTCTATGTTTACTTATTTTCTCTAAGTTATTGCATTTGTAATTATTTTATGTTTAACTTCCATTTTTACACTTCTAATATTTTTCAAAACAATTTACTGTTTTGTTTCCATGTTAAAAACAGTGTGTATGTTCAAATTATGTTTGTTTATATCTTCCAAATAAAATAAGTTAATTATTTTGAGATGTTTTTTGCAGTTTAGTGTTGCTAATAAAATTTAAATTATTATTAGGCTGCAATTTGAAAATTGCAGACCTGTAAATTTCCACTGGGGTTCGTCTGGCTGTCTGTCTGTCCTTTCTTAATCTTGAAAATGAAGTTAGATAGATGAAAATCATGACCAGATATGGAAAGTTTAGGGACAGGAGGCTCCAATTAACTATTGATACATACAAACTTCCAGTCCAGACTGGAAGTCACATGATTTCAATTCAAAAATTCTCTAGAATAGAGTTAGTTAGATGACCAGTATGTCTCTATTGTTTTCAGGAAAAGTATGATGTTTGGAGGCAAGACACTACTAAAATTGAGAGCATATATTTTAAAGTAAATAAATTAAAAATATGATTAAAAATTGCAGTCTGGCATTGTGACAATGTCACAATAATTTTGTCAATTTTTTCATTTTCCTGTTTAAGGATGATACAAAAATATCTCTCAATAGAGTTCATTCATATTTATTTACATGACCATAATTTAAAATGTTTGTAGAAATTTTAATAAATTAATAACAATAGTCTAGTAAAATCCAGTTTGACTTAAAGCTTCTAAGTGTTTACATATTAACTAATTTTTTTAACGTGTAATAAATAGACTAAGATAATTCTACTTTCAAAATTCTGTTAATATAAATGAACTATAATCAATAAGTTATTAATGAATTTAATTTTTAAACTTATTTAGGTCATAATGGAAATGTGAGTAGTGTTAATTTCAGTCATTCAAACATGGGAGAATTACTTTTAACAAGTGGTTATGATAAAAAAGCATTAATTTGGAAGTGGAAACAGAATCAAAAACCTTTATTAATTGTTGATTCATTACAATTTGAAGACAAATTTAAGGTAGTTTTTATAATCTATTTAGTAATCTTTAGTGATTTAGTAATATATTAAAATAAATATACAGTTTATAAATAATTTATTATATTTTTTATTCTTAAATTATTTTTTAAATTTTATTCATTAAATTCATTAATTATTAATTTAGTTATTTTGATTTTTTATATTAATACTAGTGTTTTATTTTATGATATTCTGCATTTTTTAAACAAACCTTTGTAAGTATTTTAATTTTTAAGTATGTAAATGTTAATAAATGAATTCTAAAATATTTTGTTACAGAAGTCTATACACTATGTTAACAATAAATTTAAAGTAATTTATGACATCTGTCATATAAAATAATTACATGTATATGCAGGATACATGATACACCATTTTAATATAACTTTTTGCATTGTAAATAAAATTAATTTGTTTAATTTTATACAATAGAATCTGCTTATTGTAAGCATGGATACTGTAATCAGATGTTTAATGTTATCATAATTAGCAAGTCTCAAAACATACAAATTCAAATACACAGTGAATAGAGAATGTTGAAAGAGAATAATGAAACAGCTCTCAACCTGTAAATAAATAAAAAATCATATAAATTGCAGATAAAAATGTATTGAAATGAAACAGATGTAAAAATATTTTGTTGATACATGCTTCTTATCTTTAATTACTTATATCATACTTTTGTCCACTTTGAACGTTCTTGTGAACTAGGGCTTGTTATATTGAGGGAAGAGAAACAATTTTCACTTAAAATATATTTACTCAAATATAATCTTGTATGCCATTACATTTTGGGCCAATACCCCTCTTCAGCAGTAGTTACCATTTTCTAATTACAATTTAAAAAATTATAATTAAAAAATATAATTAAAAATTATAATTTATACATAATTCTTTTTAAAATATCTTAAAAAATTTGAGATATTTTAAAGTATTTTAAGATATTTTTAAAAAACTTNCATTTAACGATTAAAAAAAATATGCTATTATAAACTAATTCCCATAAAAATTAAACCAAATTTGATGTTTTTTTTAATTCGATATTCGTAAAGTTAAATTAAAATTAAGGGAGTAATAAAAATTTTAGTATTTGATTTTCTTTTAATAACAGTTTTATACTTTTCCAAGAAGCAAATTCCATCGTAAAACATACAAAACCGATATTCTTAACTGACCGAACAGATTAAATCCAGATTAAATCGGTGGGATTAAAGAGTGCAAATCGATCGTTCTCTTAATCCGTCCAATCCTAAAATCTCCCAAAATGTTTACAGAATTACTTATTTTACAACCCGTAATAAAAATGATCTTGATTTTGCTCATTAAACATAATCTTCTATTATTTTACATCGCAGTGGTTTTGCATTTTATTAACTTTTATATATTGAGATTTAATTAAGCATAAATAAATATCACTTATGGTAGCTGTTATTACGTACTATGAATGTATGTCTCTTTAATCCGAAATTAAGTTCGGTAGACTATCATTACAGCTTCAGTGCAATAAGTGTGACAATTTTTAATATTGCACTGAAGAGGGGCTTAGCATTTATATAAGCCCGAAATGCATATGTGATAACAATAAAAGAAGTGTCTAACCTCAAGCTGTAATGATAGTCTACTGAACTTAATTTTGGATTAAAAAAACATACATTCATAGTACGTAATAACAGCTATCATAAGTGATATTTAGAAAAATTTTTTAATTGAAATAACATGACTTCCAGTTTGCATTGGAAGTTCTTATATAGTTAATCAGACCTCCTGCCCCTAATTTTTCCATATCTGGTCTCATCTTTCATCTATATAACTGTTCTCAAGATTAAGGAAGATAGATAGACAGACTGACAACAGTGGAAATTTATAGGTCTACAATTTTTTTGAATTGCAGTCCAATTAATGTTTAATTAGAAAATGTTAATGTCTGCTGAGGAGGGGCATTGACCAAAAATGTAGTGGCATACAAGATTACATTAGAGTAAATATATTTTAATTGGAAATTGTGTTTCTCTTCCCTCAGTATAACAAATCCTAGTTCACAAGAATGTCCAAAGTGGAAAAAACTATAATATGTAAAAATATTACTTTTAGCTAAACAAAGTATTAATATATTACCAAAATACAAAAAATTTCAAAACTTATCATCAAGTGAAAGGAATTTTATCACAAAATTACATATATAATTTTTTTTGTTAACGTTGTTAGATGTCTTTGTTAAAAAATTTTGATGAACAACCAGCATCATCGGAATTGACCACTACTAACACACAGTGGAGTACAGAAATTAGCAGCCAAATTTTCCCAGAAAGGGAGAGTTGATGACAAACCACATAGTAAGCATCTGTGATCAAAATCCCAACACTTTGTTAATAAAACACCCCTATCTTAAAGTTGGAAAGTAGGATCACTTGCTGCTCTCACATTTGTCAGGATGACATGAGATAACAGAGCCTTATGGGGGTAGTTGGTGGTATAAAGACAATTGTGATATTTAAAAAGAATCACGTAGAATTATCTGTTCTGAAGAGAGTCCAATTGATGTCACTCTTGGAGGGTATGTGTATGAGTTTCTTGGAATTTTCTTTCATCCTATTTGGATGACCTAGACTACACTGTGAATTAGTAGTTGGGGGAATCTAATAGTTCCTGCAGTAGGCAGAGTTGATCTTCAGCTTGTTGGGCTTTTTCCAGACAGAGAGAGTCCAAAGTGACTCAGTTGATCTTTTTAGGGAAAGACAGTCAGTCTCTTTGATGGAAAATGATGTTCAGTTGTACCCTGTAAAAGAATGAGAAAGACTGGAATCCAGTGGTCAAATCTCTTGGAATGGAAAGATGTTCAATCACACTTTGAAAAAAGCAATGTGCTCTTGGAAACACATCTTTTATATTATTTTTGATCCAAAATCAATATTTGATTGGTTCAAGTCTTCCCTCTCCCTATTGATCCCTGTTCTGTTGCTATGAACCAAATTCAGGTTGAAGGAGAGGGACATCTTCCTCCACCCCAATGCCGGGTCCATCACTCCCTGAAGTGCTTAATTGCAACTTCCCCAGGGTGATAGCCCATAATTAGGGGAAGATGTGTTTTTGCTTTTTGTTAAGGAAGGATGCAGATGTAACTAAGAGGTTTCACTCTGCAATTTGATACAATAAAACGTTTTTCCCATTGTTCTTCCTACATATCAGGGGGGAGGTCGAGATCTTTTGTTTATGATATCTTCCTATCATTTAACTCACCCAAATTCTGTTTTTCTTAACAACACATTTCCTTTCTACTTTTGTGTTTTTTGAAAACAAAAAAATATTTTACATCAATATTTTTCCATGAGAAAGGGAATATAATAACAAGTGAGTGGTTTGGACATCAACATCCACAAACAGTCACATATTCAGGCACCTTGATCACTATTTTGGCATCGTTTGTGAATAGTCCCCAGTATATGTGATATACTGGGGACTCTTGGCTATTGGGAACATGATATACTGTGTTAGCCAGAACTCCATTTTGCATATTCTTCATAAGTGGCATCCATATCAATGGCATGATGCAGGATCTGGAACAGAAAGATTTGCTGCGAATGCTTTGTTATCATGCAGATAGTACTGTTATAACTTCAAACATTGATAACATACATGTGAATAAAGTTACAAATTCATTTGTGCAATCAGTGAATGTTTTCTTGTGCAAAATGATATGCCACATGTACCTTTTCCCATTTATATTTTTTGAGTGGTATTCAAGATAGCCATGAAGTTGCCACTATGCTCCAACAAGTTTTGCTCTTCATGACAACATGATATGAGACAATTGTCATTGCTAATCATTATTTACGTTTTATTTGGGTTGGTCCTGGGACTTTTTGTTCATGTTCCAGATTTAAATAGTATGGCTTTTTGAAGCAAATTATAATATTAATAATAATGCAAATTTCAATAATGTTTTTTATACATTTTAGAAAAATATATCAATCCCAGAAGAAATTTCAGCAGCACAATTTTATTATATGGATAAATTTATATTATTAACTTACGGAAATATTTTAAATATGTACTTATATAATTTGGATTTTTCAAAGTCAGATATTGAAAGGTAAGCAATAGTTTTAAATTGATAATTACTTCAAACTGCTTCACTGAAATTTACAAAATTTATTAGTGTTGTAACGAATAGTATATTCGGCCTCAGGCCGAATACCGAATATTAACTATTCGGTATTCGGCCTGAATATATTATACCGAATACTATTCGGCTTGATTAACGCACGTACAGTACAAAAATTGGCGCGCAAACCGCATTATGGCAAGGACCCTGCTCTCTATTGGCCCGCTGTCACTACGCTTCGCCAATCACGTTAATTCTTGACAGTTGAAGCGGACAGACACGAGCGTCATGGCAGTATGTAATAAGTGATGATATCAAATGTGGATAACAATGAAATGACCCACACGTGTAAATAACGGAAAAAGAACAGATAAGGACCGCGAAGTGAAAATGTGAAAATAAATATGAAATTGAGTTGATAACATAATCAAACAAGTTGAGGCAGCTTATTGGCGCGAAATTCGCAGCCGTCAATGCCAAACAGTTGTTGTCATAGACTTCGAAAAGCTAAATGCTTGTAATGAAAGTCACTTAGCGTGCACGGGTGAAAGCCTGGCGCTGTTCGAGCTACCAAGCTGTCTCGAATATGTGAAATCATAACTGTTACTTATACCGACATCTTATCTGTCTCTTTTCTCCGTTATCACCAGGCTATGAGTCACGTAATTGTAAAATGGGAAATCTACGACGGAAAAGTGACGAATCGAAAGTATCGTGAGCGTGTATTATGATGTATGCATAGGCATATGTGGACTAGAGCGATAGAGGAAAGAGAAAGGGAAGAGCAAAGATGAGCGCTTAAAAAGAAGGATAGACAGGGTCAGACCCTCACTGTCAGATGTGTGACGATTCTCGAACGAATAGGTGTGTACAGTACTGTACGTGTGCTGATCTTTGTAATTATAAATTGTGAATACATGTGACTAATATTATTTTCTTTTTTATTTTGTGCATGTTATAAGTTATAAATAAATATAGACAAACAACACTAACCGGATAACATTAAATCTAAATACCAAAATGATTAATTTACTGTGTTTTTGTTATTTCTTACTCCTGTTTTTAGGTATTTGGTATTCGGCCAAATAGTGATTAAATATTCGGTATTCGGCCGAATACCGAAAAATAGGTCGGATACCGAATAGTAACCGAATATTCGTTACATCACTAAAATTTATGCAATTTATTATTGTATAAATTATTACATAGAAAATTATTATTGCACAGAAATATTTTTTGGATTTAGAACCATGTGCATCTTGAAATATGCACTCACATTATTTTAAATACATTTTGACATTTGAAATTTAATCAGAAAATTGCTACGTCAATAATAAATTTCACTCATTATATTGCTTTGTTTTAATCAAATAAATAGATTTACTTGTTCTGTGTCAGTATTAATTGCCTGCAGAAATAGTTGTTCTAATGAAAGATGCAAGTATTTTTGTAAGTTCGCCGTTTTGGGGGAAATGCGTTAATTGCGCGTCAGGAAAACCTAGGGTCAAACCGTATGTGGGTGGTGGCTAGATGACAGAGGTGACAAGTGTCTTACACGAAAACCGTTTATTTTGACATTAGATTAAATTACACAATGGGAAGAACAAGAATTTATATGCTGGCCGGCTGATATTCCACTTTGGATATGCCCCGGGGCTTGAACGAGGTAGAGGCTGGTGATCTGCGGGCGATGTCCGGTAAATCTTGCGTACGATGTCTTGTCTCCTTCCTCCAGGGATGCGACGGAGCTCGGATGTGGTGGCGTCCTGGATATTTGGGTCCGGTGTGCAGCTGAGAATCCGCTGTCAATCCGCGCTTTGTCCTTGAGACCCGGGGGTTTTATAGGATTTTCCCCAAATCTCATCCTCTTGATTGGTCCCGTTTACCCTCTCCCTTACCCCGATTGGTCACTCTTTTTGTTTCTAGGCGAAACCCGAGACCGATCCGGGTCGGGAAAAGGTCAGAGAGGTGATGACGGGGCTTTTAATGTTCGCGCCCGTATTTTTCTCCGTTATGGTCCTTTTCTCTGTAATCTTTGAACCTAAACGGTACACCAGATGTTCTTTTGGCCATTTATCCCCTACCGCATTCGGACTTAACAGATGTCCCTTTTGTTCTTAGACCCCCCTTTTCTCGATTGCTTCGACACTTGTTCGCGAGCATCTCGACAAAGCTCTTTCCCTCTGTCGACATTCCCTCCTGTTGTTTATCATCGCGCCGCGTGTGTTTTACAATTCGAAAAGTTTTTGTCCCATCTGGGTTCTGTCATTAACATACCCTCTTGACCCGATTCTATCCTCGAAACTTTCCGACGTAAAAGTTTCGTAATTAGTCGTAATTTCGACGCTCTTTTACGACCCTCACATTTTGACATGCAATTTGGTGTAAAGTAAGCAGGAAATTATAATTATTATAGGAATTTAAATGCTTAAATAATAGTCTGAATTGATTTGAATTTAATAAAACTTATTCTATGTCACGAGTTGGTGCATTTATCGATACTTGGCAAATAATTTCATCATCCACTTTTAATTCATACAGATACGCGTTTCGGGCTTTCGCCCCTCTTTAATCTGTTACATCGATAGGTTGTGACTTGTGTATACAGTATCAGTCAGGCACCTTCTGTACTTTCCCCCTCCCCCTCTTCTCCCTTCCCCTCCCCTCCCCTCTTCTCCCGACTTGACGGCCTCACCCGCATGCCTCAACTTGTAACGTGTCACTTCCCCGAGTGCTGCACACAGCCTCTCCTGCGACTGTATAAACATTCTATTAATATTTTAATAATTGTAGCCAGTTTTTATGAATGTCAATGCTACAGATAAAAATAATATTAACAAGAACCTAAGCATTGACATTTATAAAAACTGGCAACAATTATTAAAATATTAATAGAATGTTTATACAGTCGCAGGAGAGGCTGTGTGCAGCACTCGGGGAAGTGACACGTTACAAGTTGAGGCATGCGGGTGAGGCCGTCAAGTCGGGAGAAGAGGGGAGGGGGAGTGGGAAGTACGAATTGCCGGCATTGTTAGAAACTTTGAGATAAAGGATACAAAGGTCTCTAAACAAAGACCTAGTAAATACATAAAATTCACCTACAACAAAAATGTAAGAAGCGTTATGAAGGAGATTGCGGACATAAAAGAATCAACGGTGATTTTAAAACGAGCTCCTAATTTATTTAAAATTCTAAGAAACGATAAAGGGGATATTAAGAAAGAAGATAAAGCAGGAGTTTATAAGATCCCGTACGAGAACCAACAATTAGGATTAAAAAAGGAGTACATAGGAGTTACAACAAGGAAATTGGGGTAAGGGTCAGGGAGCATAAATATGATGTTAAACGGAAAAAATCAAACGCAACTGTGCTGGCCCAGATGGCTCAAGCCCAAGGTTCCGTAGTTGGATGGGAAGAAGCTGAAATCATTAAGCAAATACACTCTCCAACTTTAGCGAAGACAGACGAAAAAATGGAAATACTGTATACAGGAGCAAACTTGATGATAGATGTATAAATTAAATTTAATGCCTCTACAATAAGTGTGTGAAGAGATAGACGATATGGACTCATGTATATGTATAGTCTAGTAAGAAATATATTTTTTCTTCTAAATATGAATTTGTCCCGGCAATTTTTGTTAATCTAGTTTTTAAATTTATATTTACAATTCAAAATGAATTATTATTCTTTATTTAAAACTATTATTAACAACTTTTTATTTTAATACTTATAAAAGCATGAATTCTATATATACATCTTTAAACTGTTACTCAAATTTAAAAGTGTATTTTATCATATATATACTCATAGCTATATACTTGTGAGCCACCGGGGAGGTTGGAAATTCCTCTCCTTTCCGGCAACAGGTCGGTGACCTACTTTCTTGTCAAGGATGGTGTTTACGTTCTGTTACGCTAGTGGAGGAGAGTCGGAGGGGTCGACGATAAGACGTTGGCAGAGTCGAGTAACGACACCACTTAAAAACAAAACAAGAATTTATTTAACTCGCTAACTAAATAAAAATTTACAAAACTCGTTCGACTTTGCGGATGAGAGAGAGAGTTTACAATAATATTTCATACTTCTGGGATAATATCGGATGGATACTCCGGCTTTAATTGTTCTGAAAGGCGGTGCGAGGTGTGGCCCAAGGTCTTCCAATTAAGGTCGTACAGTAGGTATACGGGAAAGTTAATGTCCGTCTTTGTCATTGTTCGTTCGATTGGCGACTCACCCCGAGAGGGGAAGGAGATGGCTTTTATACGTATTGTGGTGGGAAAATTCGTCAGGTGATCAATTGTTTTAGCAGGTGTGGGGTTAATTAAAGTTGGTGTCAGAATGACTTCATTATGACGAATTTCGCCGGTAATTGTAAACTATACGCGGTTTGATCGTGAGAATGTTTATAGTTAAACAGAAAGAGTTACCCCTTAACGACCATTGACAAGATAACTAGTCCAGTTTCCATAGCGTTACAGAAAACTCGGTCCTTTCGGCCCTAAAAATTTTTTTTTTCAATTTTCGGATGTTTTCCAAGTCTCCAAATTTTTTCAAAAATTTTTTCCCGCGCGAAAAAATTTTATCGCGATTTTAATCTACCTTTAATGACGCACGATTAACACTTAATTGTTTTTTTACGGCATTTTTTAATCAAATTTTATTCATCGTTGTAAAGTTCTAGTGCACGGATTTTACTTCGGTAAAGTTATTTAAAGCTACTTTCTGATATCAAAAACGACCTCCAATAGTTTTTTAATTTTTTTAATTAATATATTTTATTATATATATGCGTTTAATTAAATCGGGGGGGGTCGTTAACTATTAATATGAAGTAGATAACAATAATGATTATTGTTTGAATATAAAAATTCANGATTACTTGAAATTATGACAAATTATATATTAATAATAATCAAATAAATTTCCATCTAAAGATGATGATATTACTCAATTCCAAAATAAATATTTGATTTTTTTTCAATATTAATTTTTTTCCTATTTTATTTATTAATTTTTTAAATATTAGCTTCTTATTTAAGTGCATTTTAATCTATGGAAGAAAATGAATGCCAGTTTCTATTTTAGTGTTAATTTATTTGTAAAATTATACTTTTACTATAATATAGAATTTTTTAGATGTAATTACATTTTACTTAAATTTTCCAGCTATAAAATGAAAAGTGAATATCAAACTATTTTATCTCTCACTTTGGAATCAAAACGAATAACTGCTCTTTCAGCTGTTAATCAATTTTATTCTTGTATCCTTTTCATTTTTATAACCTTCCTATCTCTTTTCATAATAAATGTTTCTATTTTTAATGAAATATAGGAACTGTTCTACTTTCAGCACCGGGGTGAAATCAACGTTACACTATCTGGAACCTTTGACCGGTGCTCTATGCGTATATATTGTATATCGCTTGACAAACGTTTTCGAGCGATCTGTTCGCTCTTCTTCAGGTCGACTGAAAATTCCCCGGACGGAGTGTATATTATTTGTTGGGATCGGGTGATGGTTCCGACTGGGTGGGTCGTTTCTGGAATGCGCGGTTGTGTGGTGGGGGAGGAAGCGGCGGGTTGGCGTCTAACAGCGATTGCCAGGCCAGAGACATGGTTAGCTCTTCCTTCCGGTTAACGCAGGTGGTTAGCCGGCCGGCATTGTAGATAGCCGCGGCCTCCAGCCACCTGAGATGCTGTTGGTGCGGCGTGTTGATGATGATAGTAGCCTTCTCGAGTTGCGCTTCGATTTCGGGATCCGACGAATATGTGGCCAGGGCTGTGGTTAGCCTCCCGTGTCAGATATCCGCTTGGTGTTCACGCAGGCGGGTGTACAAGGAACGTTTGGTCGAGCCGATGTATAGTAGGTCCGCGTTCTGTTTGTTGTCCCGGAGTGGGATAGAGTAGATTCCGGGGAGTCTGGTGCGATCGGGAGGGTCTTTATCGTTCCGTAGGATACGGAAAATTGTGGGGCATCTTCTGTATGCCAATCGTATCCCGTGCTCTCTGGCTATCTTCCTATGCACAATCTTGAGGTGCGGGTTGAATGTGATGGGGACCCGTGTTGGGCTATCTTGCTGTGGGTCGGCGACATTTCTTGCGGTTAGGGCGTGTTTCTGGCGTTGGTATCGTTCAACTAAGCGGCGTGTCATGTTCGGGAACCCTTGCTCAGTTGCTATCCTCTTGATGCGGACTAATTCGTTTATTAGGGCTTGCTTGGTGGATGAGTGTGAAAATGCTCTGTCCACCAGAGCCCTAAAGGCGGCTGCCTTGTACGGGAACGGGTCAGAAGAATCGGCTGGTATGTACGTGGGGGTGGATGAGGGCTTGGGTATACGGCCGTGTGGATGGTGGATCCTACTATTTTTATTCCAATGTCGAGGAAATGGACTTCTGTACTAGCTTGCTCCAGTTCAACGGTTAGGCCGAAAGGGTTGACGGTTCTGACGAAAGATGTCATGTAGGAGACCTCTCTCCATACGATAAGAATGTCGTCCACGTATCTTTTATAAATCAGGATGCTAGGAAGGAAAGGTGGGAGGGCCTTACTTTCGAGCTGTCTGACGACCATTTCACAGAGGTCGCCCGAGAGTGGGCTACCCATCGGTACACCCTTTTTCTGCCGGTAGATAGTGTCGCCGAACCTAAAAACAGAGTCGTAACACGCCAGATGGGCCACCTCGAGTACCTGTTGGTGTAGTGCTTGGTCTTGAACTGTATTAAACAAAAAATCTCTGAGGGAGCAGAAGGCTGGAGGTAGCTCTATTGAGGGGTACATAGATTTGAAGTCCAGGCCTGTCATAAAACGTGGTGGGGAGGGTAGATCTTGTAGGAAGCGGATGAGGTCGGTCGGTTTATTTACGTTGTAGTGGTAGTTTTCTAGATGGGGAGTTAGGAGGTTGTGTATGGCTTTCTCAAGCTTTCGTGTGGGCGCCCTTACCTTGCCTACGATCGGGCGTAACTGTTGGTCCGTCTTATGTGTTTTAGCGTAGGCGAAAAGTCTAGGTACGTCTGGTGAATCGACTATTATGTCGTGTAGTGCCAGGCGCTTGGCTAATTTAGAGTCAGCGAGGCGTCTAACCTTAGCATGTAGTTTGTCGATTACATCGTCCTTTTCTTTCTCGCACATTGTATTATCAATGTATTCCCTCAAACCCTGCTGGTATGAGCTGCGTTTCATGAAGACTAGTGTTCTGAACTTATCAGCTCTGGTGAGAATCACTCCGTTCCCTCGCATCCATCTAGCAGTACGTCTCAGCTTGTCCCTGAGCTCTATAATTTCTTGCTGCTCCTTAGCTTTCCTGATATTTATCGAGGACATCCATCTGTAATATTCCTTCTGCGTGTCTGGGAGGCTTTTTAAAAGGTATTCCATGTCCGGGATGAGGTCTCTGGTTCTATTTTTGGGCGGCGGGGGTGTGTGAAGGTTGGGCCATATCTAAGTACAGTAGTCTACGTCAATAACGAAGTTAGGTGGTTGGATGTCGTCCCAAAGGATAAACGGGAACGTGGGGCTTTGGTTTTAGGTACCTGAAATTTTAGCACCCAATTCAGCTTCTTGCGGTAGCGTTCTCGTAAGTCGGCAGATAGGCAGGCGTTCGTAGATCGGGACCAACTTAGCGTTCTCTCTGGCCAATATATCCGGGTGTGTGTGGAATAAGGAGTCTTTGGTCTCTATTAGCTCTTTCAACTTTGCGAAGATCCGCTTTCTGGGTGATCGGATGGCTCTATTAATTAATTTAACTGACTTTTTTAAGGAGAGGTTCGTTGCCTGGTGGGAGGCGTATTCGGAAAATTGTCATCGGTAAAATGTCGCCGACCCACAGCAAGATAGCCCAACACGGGTCCCCATCACATTCAACCCGCACCTCAAGATTGTGCATAGGAAGATAGCCAGAGAGCACGGGATATGATTGGCATACAGAAGATGCCCACAATTTTCCGTATCCTACGGAACGATAAAAACCCTCCCGATCGCACCAGACTTCCCGGAATCTACTCTATCTCACTCCGGGACAACAGACAGAACGCGGACCTACTATACATCGGCTCGACGAAACATTCCTTGTACACCCGCCTGCGTGAACACCAAGCGGATATCTGACACGGGAGGCTAACCACAGCCCTGGCCACATATTCGTCGGATCCCGAAATCGAAGCGCAACTCGAGAAGGCTACTATCATCATCAACACGCCGCACCAACAGCATCTCAGGTGGCTGGAGGCCGCGGCTATCTACAATGCCGGCCGGCTAACCACCTGCGTTAACCGGAAGGAAGAGCTAACCATGTCTCTGGCCTGGCAATCGCTGTTAGACGCCAACCCGCCGCTTCCTCCCCCACCACACAACCGCGCATTCCAGAAACGACCCACCCAGTCGGAACCGTCACCCGATCCCAACAAATAATATACACTCCGTCCGGGGAATTTTCAGTCGACCTGAAGAAGAGCGAACAGATCGCTCGAAAACGTTTGTCAAGCGATATACAATATATACGCATAGGGTAATTATGCAGTTTAAGGGAATAGGAGTTTTTTAAATTGTATTATATTAAAAGAATGTATATTTAATAGACATTCAGAAAACGCATAACATTTTTCCGGGAGACCCGTATATACAGTGCTATAAACGAAAAATCATAGGACTATTTACAGGTTGTTCCCCGTTCGAGACGCCATTGCTTAAGCTTGCCGTCGTCGTGGAGGTGTACACTGCACGGCGGATGCACACAAACCGTGTCACGTGATCCGATTTCGACGTCAGTCGGTTACGTGACTAGGTCTCTGACGCGTTTCCGTGTAGCTTTTCTTCTTGCGGAAGAATCCCTTTTTTTTGTATAATCACGTGATAAAGGAAACGAGTTATTAACACGTGATTAACTCTTTTGTCACGTCGAGCAGCTCGCGGTCTACAGTTTGATAACTTTGCCTAGTTACGCTTCCGTAACATCGTAACAGTTAATATTTGACAACGACTTTATTTTTCGATTTTAACTCCGTAAAAACAGAACAAGTGAAATAATAAATAATAATTGAGTTACTTTAAAATTCAGATCAAATGCTTGTAATAATTAATGCTTAAATTTAATATCTAAATTTACAAACATATATGTTTTATATAACTAATCGCTCTGATTTTAAAATCTAAAGTTATATGACAGTAATATATAAATTACTGTATGTAAGATGTCCAGTCTTGTGTTATTTAATAACGAGCTTGGTTGAGAAAAACTGCTTTTAGATTAACTGAAATAAAGCAGATATCTTTGTGTTGACATTAGTTATAATCGACATTCTTGAATTGATACGATTTTAATGAAAAGGTTATCCACAAAAATTATCAAAAGCAAGTAATATGTTATTTATAAATTAACTTCATTGTTTTATTTTCTCGATATAGAATTATCAAGGTTCAATCATTAAAATGTTTCAGAATAACTGCTGACGCAAAATAACTCTTAACGCAAAGGAGAAAAATCAGAAGGTAGAAAGGAGTAATAGTTGTAATAGTAGTCTATATGGCTAAGGAAAGTTGCTTAACGTAACACGATCTGTTGATACCTTTGTAGATAACGGCAGACCCAGAATCATAATACATAATAGCATAAATTATTCAATAATATTTATTTATACTGTTTGTATCTTGTAATTAGGAGCGCATTCCCAAATAACTATTCTGAATGTAATCTTCGGGTCTATACAGACCTTATAAGTTATTGTTTTGCTATATTTTTAAGATAGTTACACATAATTTCTTAGATGTACTGTACAGTACTAATAACACTGGTCATATCGGAAGTGTTTAAAGTGAACATTCTAGTTTAAATTTATCATCCAGCGTTATGTTATACTTAGATATTTATTGTCAATTACTTTGATATTATTATTGATTTTGAGTTATCCGTTACAGCTATGTGCTGGATTATCTCTATTCTTAAACAGTATATACCACATATTTCATTTTATCTTCATTATGCTTAATATGACGTTAATGGTATACATATTTGGATATATGTGTATGAAAATGACAACAAAAGTTTTAGATTTAAGGATGACAAATAACCAGCTAAAAGCAATATGGATAGTTTCTCAGCTGTTTATTTATTTATTGATCCGCTGTTGTATCAATTTATTTACTAAATAAATTTAAAACAGTTTTTATAAATTGTCGAATAACTTTTATTAGTTATTTAATTAATAAGACGATACATCCGATTTATTATAAAAATCGAATGAATCGTTTTATTAAATAACTAATATATAGACTATGTTGTTTTTATGTATAAGTTTTTTATTTAAAACTGATCGTTTACATTTCTTCATAACTACAATTGGATAAATATTTCTTCATTAAAAATATGGAGTTTTATTCAGCAAAAGATAAAAGAATTCTCAGTAGATTATACGACTACTTTCGAATAGCGACTGTAGTTAGATAATTAGACTTGTGAAATCATTAGTTTATATATTAGCAATCAGTTCTGAATTATGCCACTACAGTAAACAGTACTAATGGCAGGAGCTCGAATTCTAATCCTCCTCAGACGGCATCCCGCTATGCTGACTCCCTCCGGAAAAACCGAACAATTCAAGCGAAAGAGAGAATTGCTTTGTCTCCACCAACCGTTTAGGCCTACACGTTAGTGAACGTAGTGTAGTATTATTTTCGGAAGATCCCTAAAATATATCAAAAATTGCTAAATTCCTTTTCTGCTACCTTCCCAATTAAGCGAAAAATTGCCCAATTAGCGTTTAAATTATGCAATAGTTTGGTTTCCGTTCTTTGAGATTTTGCCCAAAAAATTGGCTGCCTATTATACTAAAAAATTATACTTTCTATTCTGAAATTAGCTCTCTTTTTAAAGAATAACTTTTTAGATAAGTTTTAAGGCTGTGATACACCCGCTCAAGTAAATTTTAATAGTTTACTATTTTTAAGACTTATTTAAACGTGTTTATCCACGATCAATCTTTCATTCCGAGTTTATATCACGACTGAGTCAGGCAAAATGTAATTGGAAATATGAAGATAAAGAATGCAATTCTAAAAAATATATAACAACCTTTGTAGATCTCCAGCACAAAATTTTTACTAAGTGAACGTTTTTGTTAAATTTAAACATTAAGAATCTGATTAGATATCTAAAATGTTTATTATTCACTTTTTAAATACAACTCACAGGAAATTGCTGATGTGTCTTTTAATAAATATTAAAGAATTAAAACATTTTAGTGATTTATATAAATGGGGAAAACACTTTAAATCTGGAAAACATAGAATTGAAACATTAAGAATCATAAAAGGACATGCTAAACAAATGCTTGACAAAACTCGGGGCAGCTATAAAATTGTTAAAGGTAATCAGTTAAAAATATTGGAATTAGAAAATTTGTTGAGCTGAATAGTTCAATTAAGTTTACAGCTAGTGAATCAATGGTTACTAAATTTAGAAAAGAATAGAGATTAGTATTTCGAAAAACCTCAAAACTTGTAAATAAAATAGAAATAGTAAACGAAAAGGATATTTTAATAAAAGCTGCGCACTTTCAAACAACAGTAAACAATTTATTGCCATTTTATACGCGTAACATTATATTCAATACAGATCAATGTGCTTTTTCATACGAAATGATTTCACGAAGAACACTTTCATATAAAGGAGAAAAATACTATTTGATTTGCAAATTCTCCAAGTGATAAAAGTTACGCTTTCCTACATTGTTCAATATTAAAATCAGACTAAAAATAGATGAGAATAATGATTTATAATTGTTTGTACACGTTTGTAGCTGACAAACCATCTCCAAGAATGCGTAGCTTCTTCCATGAAAATTTTCATCCCATAAACCCGAGTCGACGCTTATTCATTGAAGGCTATTCATTTCGCTATAATATATTCTTCTGAGCTCAACAGGCATCTGAACGTGGATTTTATCGTTTAATAAACAAAACAAGGGTCTCCCATACACTAGCATGAGAAGGAGGAGTTTTGTGGATAAATTTATAAATACGGGGTGTGAACAAATATCTTATTCGTTGAAACACAGTTTATGTAAATAAAGACCAATCAATGCCTACATCGCCACAAGTTAACTGGTTAGGGGCAATTGTATGTTGCATTACGCGCAGTGCCGTGTTTCAAAATAAACCATACTGAAATAGATATTTAACTTTTATACAATAAATTTTAGTTGTAGTTCAAGTTTTATTTAGATGTGTAATGTACAGTATATTCAATTTTTTCACATTACCTTATAAGTATAATATAAGTATTATAAGTACAAATTTATGCTTTCATTTCTCTTTATTATTACATGTAAATAGTAAAATCTATTTTTATATCATTAAATTTATGATAATTTTATGCTTCATGTTTATTTTCTGTAATTAGTTTTTAAAGTAAAAATATCGAACTTTCAAGAATGGCAACTTTCCTACAATGCCGCAAACTTTTACAGGAAAGCACCGATCGCAGGCGTTGCCCCTGTACAGTTGTTTATCCATGATGGAAAGGAACCATTCAGGCACCAAATTCAACACCTTCAGAAAAATATTTTTTTTACACAAAAATAAAAAAAAGTGAGATTTTTCTCTACATCCTTATTCTAAATTAAACAGGAATAAAGGGGTTAAGAAAATAAGTTTATGTAGTATTTTATTTAATGTTTTTGGATAATACACGTAGGCTATACACGTAACTATATTTGTAAATTTGATGAGTATCTTTCACCTCAAGAATAAAACCCCACAAATAACTTCAGGTTACCTAAATATACCGTTATTTTTATTCCAAATATCATTAGAATACAGTGGTACCTCGGTATACGTCTGCTTTAGAATACGTCAAATTCGGAATACGTCCTGTTTGGACGAAACAAATTTTGCTCGGTATACGACTTAAATTCAATTATACGCGCCATCTATGAACAAGTAGCATTATCGGTGTACTAGACCAGACTAGACGTTTGCAGTGCAACGGTTTATAACTTTGCTAAATTTCTTCTGATTTTAATTTGTAAGTAAAATTTTATTATTTTTATTAATCATGAATTGCGAAAAGGCAAATGAAAAGCAACAGAAAACTAAAAAATGACTAGAATCACAATGGAACTGAAAAAAGAGATTGTTGAGAAATATGAAGGTGGCATGCGTGTTCGAGATTTTAAATGTTTCATACCGTATTCCGAGAACGACGATATCGACAATCGCGAAAAATAAAGACATTATTAAATCTGCTAACGTTGTGAAAGGGGTTAAATCAAGTTCTAAACAGAGATTGAAGACATTAGATCATGTTGAGAAATTGCTTTTGCTTGGATAACTGAAAAACAGTGCGCTGGCGACATCCTATCAGAACCAATTATTTGCGAGAAAGCTAAAAAGATACATGCTGATCTCATGAAAAATCAAGCTGGAACTAGCCAGGAAAACGAGGTGTTAAAGCCAGCCATTTTTTTTCACATGAGAACGGATTAATCATTTTTACACTACTTCTTATGGGAAAGATTGGTTTAGTATACGTCCAATTCGGTATAAGTCCAAACATCAGGAACGGATTAAGGTCGTATACCGAGGTTCCACTGTATTAATATTTTATTTCTGAATTTTTAATTATATTATATTACATCGCAATTATTTTTAAAAAGTATTATTTTATTATAATGTTTAGAGGATAAAGACAGGCGATGCGTGAGAATTTCTATTTTTAAGTTATTTTAATTAAATTATCGTTTCTAAGTAGGGGCCTTTACATATATGCCGCATCTGCAGGTGTACACGACCTCAATACAGTATAACTCCAGTGACACATTATTTCCATCAATGCTTGTCACTTCTAATTACATTTTAAAAGCAACTTTGTTACAACAAAAGCATGCTGTGAAGTTCTAACAAAACTGGAAATGTTTTGTTATAACTTCATATGCTTATAGCTTATTACAATAAAAATTCATCTCCTTGTCATTAAATATCTATTTTTTTCACAATAAAATCGATTTAATATTAAATATATTTTACAAAATTACTTTTTATTGATTAATTCATTATTACATGATATTAAATCTTTTCATTTTTCTAAATATTTTACAGCTTTTACTGATAAAAATTTTTATATTATAAAACTTTGATTTTTATTTGCTTATTACAGCATTTATTTCTTATTTAATACCTAATTTTTATGCATAATGTTTTTTAGGGATAAAAGCGTAAATTTCGTCCATATTATATTTTAGATGTAAGATTTCTCGGTTTTTTTCATTGTCGGGTTTAAGAATGTAATCTTTTTTATATAAATTTTAATGTTTTCTTTACAAATAAAGTAATTTTTATATCGATATTTTTGGCTGGCGCTGTCTGACTGTCGTGGCTGTTGACGTGAATTTTTTAATAATTCTTTCTAATCTTTAATAATTGTCTTTTTTAATAGTTCTCATTCTTGTTTTCTGACAACGCAACGTTCATAACCAGAGCAATGTTACCTATCGACGGAGGTAGAAGTGTTCAGTTGCAAGTAATTACGGAATAGTAGAATATAGTTTGAATTTTTCCACGTTAAAATAAAAACGTAACGTGAGAAAAGTAAATAAAAGTATTTTGAATTAATAAGTTTAAATCTACATTTGAAACTGTATTTTTATAAACGACGATATAAATAAAAAACAAATGGATCTTCCTCCTAAATATCTGAAAATTGCTAAATTAACCCTGTGAGTTTGCATTGCAAACGTTAACATTATTTTTACAATTCAAAGCGATAGTAGCGACTTCATTACTAGGTGTAATTGTTATTGCATAAACTAGAAGTTTATTGCACTTTCAGTGGCAAAGAAATGGTGGAAATAAAAATATCCAATCTTAAAATTTTATGTTTTTTTTCTGGTTGTCATTGTCAAAGGCAGCAGTCAGTGACTCTGGAGAGTTGAATTTGAGTCGGGGCTGAATTTATTTATGATTTAGGCTTGTATACTAAATATTGTATATTACATGAAAAAATTCATTAATGAAATGATAAAATAATTTCACACACAAATAGGTAAAAAATTTCTTTTTATTGATTTACCTTATTTAACAAAGCCGTTTCTTTCGTTACAGTACTCTGTAAGTTAATTTGTATTAAATTTTATTGGCAATTTTATAACAATTCAACAGAGATATAATATATATTTATATATATATTTCGTGTTAAAACAATACACAAAATTATTATTGTGATAATAGAACAAACATTTGCATTTCTGTTCTCGAGACTTAGTTATTTTGTTAGATAATTCGAACCCTTGAGAACTTTACAATAAACGAAAAAAGTATTTACAATTTTTACGTTACTCTATTTTATTTTACAAATATCGAATTAAAAAATAAAATAGAAAAAGAAAATAGCTGCAACGACGTTACGTTTTTCTTCTCCAACCGACACTTCTTTTGAAATGTACTTTTTGCCACGGGTACTATGTACATTTGTAAGTATTTATTCTTATTTTTAAGCCTTTGTAGCAGAGACAAAAATTTTCATCTCAAAAAATAAGTCTTCCGCTCGAATATTAATACTTTCTTTAAAGACAGTAGAAATATAAATTCTTTTTAACACTTTGATATTGTTCAACAATTAACATTCACAGTGCAATTCCTGTGCAAACAAACAAGGCATGATGTGGCTCGAGTGTATTCCGACCAACATCGGGATATACGAGAGTGAGGCACGAGATGAGTACGTCGGTTTAAAGTGATAAGATACATCCGTCAGCAGTCTCTGCTGAGCTCAACCTCGCTCAATTTACACAATCTCAGCCGGTCGTTCCGCAGACGAGATACAATGCAAACTTCACAGTTTAACGAGTTTTGCATAGATAAAATGTCGACTTTTAAACATTGTTACACATGCATCTCGCCTGTCGAAAAGTGAGATCATAAAAAATGGAAGAATATTGGAGGAATGTCTAAAATCACAAAGAACAAATGTAGAAAGACAATTACAGGAATGCATATTTAACAAAGTAAAATTATATTCCACGTATATATATATAAAATATAATTATAAGTAACTTAGTATATTTAATTTTGAAGTTTATAATGAGAATATATTAAAACAAGCAGTTGCAACATTTTAAGTACCGAGTACATCATTTTGATTCTTAAAATGGAAATTCAATAAACAACAAATTAATCATTTTGGTTGTTCGAAAAATCACAATTTTTAGTATTAGGAAGTTATAAATTTGAATATTAATACTATAAAAGTCTATAAATACAATGAAATTTCTCAAAATCTTACTTAAAGAAGAAATCTACCTTTTTCTTGTCCAACTTGTATTCTAATTTCATTCTAATATAGTCGAATATAATTTTTTTAAAACTTTTTAAAAAATTTTTTAAATGTGTTGAGAATTTGAGTTAGAGAAATTTCACTATATTTCTAAAGTTTACAATTCTTTATATGTCATCTAGGTTTATCGTAGAAAAAACTCGAATTTATTCTTTTACAAATAACGGGCAATTAGCAGAATGTAACAGCACAATAAAGTATGGTAAACCTACAAATTTTTCGCTTTTTCTACTTTCCTCTTTGTACTTATGATTGTATTATTGTTAACGATGATAAAGATAACTTTTCTTTGTATATTCAAAATTTGTAAACAATTTTATCTGTACATTTCTCTCTTTTTTTTTTTTTTTTTGCAAAAACTTCTCTAAATTTACACCTAAAAATTATCAACATTTTATAAACTTACAACTATGTTTATGGCTTAATAACGTCGATATAGAAAAGAATTGATTACGAACCGCCGATATGATTATTATTATTATTAAAAATTCTACCGTGTCGTTCTAATTGGCGTCATCTGTACTCGTTTCGAACGACTCTTCCCCGTTTATGAGGAAAAGAATTCAAGTGAGGTAGTTTTCTCTTTGCTGAGTGATTGGCAATGGTTGTACTGGACTTAGATCTTCTTCTGCTTCTTCCGCCTGTCGGAGTTTGATGTTCTCGGGATCCAATTGTTCCAAAGTGGCCAAAACTGAAACGTGTTATCTATTTAATTATATAGGAGTATTTGTATTGCAAAATTATAGGAGTGTTTTCGTGTCTAGTTGTCTGAATTTGTTATGTGAATGGAAATAATTCATTAAGTTATTTAGTATTTTGTTCAAAGAAAGTAATAAGTTGTCTATAATGCCATCTGCTATCAGATAAATGAGATGTTTTGTGCCAAACATAGCCACAAAACCTAGTATTTAGTTAACTACACGAAAACACACCTTAATGCTTATAAAAAGAACTCTTTAAATAGTAAACCATTTAATGTTTTTAATTACAAATAAAAACACGTAAAAAAATAATAAATAAAATAAAATCCCAAATAAAAACACAAATATCCAACCTTATGGTAGACTGTAAGGAGATTCTGCACTAGATATATTTGCTGAAAACATAAAAACAACATTGAGCATGCAAAACATTAATTAAAAATTACTTTTATAAATAAATATTTAATTTAATCAAAATTAAAAAATGTAAAATAAAAACTTTTATTTAAAATTATATATTTATATAATTCAAATAATTAATTAGTTACAAATCATTCACAAAATAATCTAAATAACTTCATTCCCGATAAAATCAAGCAAGAATGAAATTCCTAAAACCCCATGCAAGATTAGAAAAAAAATAAACAAAGATTTAATATTTTTGAAAATCAAAGTATAATTAGAACATTAACATTATATTTCATATAATACTAGCAATATTATATTAAACGGGAAACAGCATTTACAGTATTACCATTGACATAATTTAGTTACATGGTTCAATGGCCCATTTCAGAGTAAAAATATTATCATGATATGAACACATTGTTAAATTTTCTTTGCTTTATTTTAACAATGTGATAAATGAAAAATTTCTTTCTGCAGGGTAGCCACAAAATCTCCATTTGGGAGATAATAACTGAAAAACTCGAGATACAGAGTACCTCGAGAACAAATATATTGTATGATAAATTGGATGTTGATCTGATAAGGTCAATTTTATGAAAGGCTGCACCTTACAATACATGACAAGTCACTTATAAGATGAAACCGAGAGAGATATTTTCTTTCTTAAGGCTTTTAACAGTTGAAGCTATTGATAATGGCTTTAATAACATACAACTGTCAGCATGGAAGAAAAATCCAGATAAACCTAAGAAAGAATTAAATTTGTGCAGAAAATAAAGTAACATACAGATACTTTTTGACTACTTTTGATAATGGACTTTAGGTTATGTTGTAAATAATTAAATAAGATCTGAGATAATTTTTTATTTACTCTCTTCTTTACTTTCTGACACAGGCAGAAAGTAGAGTACCTTTTTAATCACAGTCATTGTGGGTTCGGCCAAGTCCACAATGGAGGCACATCGTATCTGAGTCTGGCCATGCCCGAAAACATTTCTGGGGTTTTTAAACCCATCTGGATTAGTTTCCGGGTCCCCCAAAGAGTGATGATAAGCGGAAACCTTAACCTTAAGCTTACTATCAATATGTAAGTTAAAATAATGCAACTTACAAATATACATTTATTATTAATCAGAAACAATTTTAAATCCTTTTGTTGCTCTTGAAATCATTAATACTTTTAGGAGTAAATTTTTGACTTACGAAATGTTTTTACACTTTTAAATTGTCCTAGGATAGATTATTTAAGTTTAAGTAGATTTAAGTAATTCTACTTGTAACATTCTTAATTTACTTTCAAAATAGGTTCTTATTTGCAGCAGTTTATAATCCATTTTTTATAGAGCTAAGATCTTTTAAGATTGGAACACACTAAGATGTTTTCTGCTCAGAAACATTTATGAGAGAACAATACATTTCAGTCATCTTTCCGTTTCCTTTTTCTGAATGACAATATAGTAGACAGTCAAAGAAAATATCCAATTAGCACCATGTTTATATTACTAATTAATTTTCTTAGTCAGACTTCAGACTTACAATTCATTGGATGAATTATAAGCCTGAAGCCTGAATAACTGTAAGCAATTTAATATTGAATACTTCGCTGCAAAATCCTAATAATTTTTATGAGTTTCACCATATAATTCAGGATGTTATCTTAACATACATGTTAACATAACTGAATTAAAAATAGTTACCTCACATTCTCTTTTCAACCATATTGTTTGACTAATATGACACTTGTGATAGTTCCAAGATGTTCTCAAATGACCACTCCAACTGGCTTATGTTGCACACAGAAACATAAAAACTGAGCTATGTTTTAAGTTTGTTTTCAGAGCTCTTTCAGCTGTAAATAATCTGCCTTTCTGTTGCAATTTTTCTCCTCAGAAAATGTGTAGAATGTCCCTACCTCAACTCATTAAAATATATAGAAAATATATGGCCTAAATTTATTTTTGAGATTTGTGAGCCTGTAAGCCCCACTGGATCAATATTTTCTTTCAAAAGCTTCCATTTACATAATTTTATTCAAAATTAACTTTAATAGCCTACCTTTAGGTCAAATTATTAATTACTTTGGAAATTAATGCAGTTATACCCATAAATGAACCAATTTTAGATTGGTTAGAATTCACACTAATAGTCTCTTAATGCAGTATAGTATTAGGATACTCTGAGTATCTTATAATCTGTCTGTGAAGCATAAGTAATAATTATATAAATTGAAATCTTAAATATCTTTAATATACTGATAATGAACATTCTGCATTTATTAAGTATAATAAAATTAATAAATATACCAAAAGTTATTAATTAAAAAACATAAAATATTAATAGTAGTACAAAAAGATGAAGCATAATATATTTAATTAAAAAAACAAGTTAGTTCAATGATTTTAAATACATTTATTATAATTAGTCAAAGGATTCCCTTTCTTTTTTATTTATTTTTAGAATTAAAAGTTGTTAATAGAGTTTCATTGTGTTGATTTTGTCTGTGCAAAATGCTTTATGATGTTAAGAAAATTTCAAAACAATTATTAATAAACATTTATATTAACCACTCTGCAGTGATCGCAGAGTGGTTCATAAATTTACTGCAGAGTGGTTAATATAAATATAATATACCCATCAAGGGCGATCACATGGCACTAGAGATTGACGTCTATATCCGCAAAAAAATTTTGCAGATATCGCCAAAAACTAGGTAAAAATTACCGCAAAAAAAAAATCACATAAAAAAGGAATTATGTGGCAATAAAGAAAGATTTTTTTTACTAGACGTAACTGTTAAAAATGTTTTTTTTTTTTTTTTCTGAAATGGAAATGAGAAAAACGCATGGGAAAATTCTTAAAAAATTTCCCATGTTTATTCTCCACTACATTGTGATAGCACCATATCTGACTAACCCTCTCTACAAAGGTTAAGTAAACATGAAAACCGCCTTCTTAATATACATTCTCATTAATTTAAAACATTAACTGTATAATTAGAGAATAAACAAACACAATTCCAACCTGCTACAATTTTACTTTTTTCCATTACTTCTCTAGCTAATGTATGATTTAATGCTAATAAATGAGCTCTCCTCTTCTTTTCTTCATCTACTCTTTTCTTTAGCATCTCTCCTGGTTCTCCTTGCTTATCACCAATATCTTCATAACTGAAATAAATTATATAATAATAAGAAACTTTAGTAATCATTCACAAAATTCATTTATATTAATAACATAGTTATTAGAAAAAAAATAAAAAATATAATTGCATGATAATTTCAAGTAACTTGGGAAATTTGAGAGAAATAGACTGGGTTAATGGAATAAGGTAATTCAACAATGGGACAAGTGGCCAAATAAGTGCTTCCAGGAGCACTTTCTATGAAAAATTGGCCACTATTTAAATGCTAAACATGCACACATATAAAGAAAACTTGGAAAACCTGTAACTATCAGTGTTTGGTGGTTATATCCACCGACAAAGAGAAAAAGATTTAACATAGCAATTTTCAAATATTTTGTCACATTAACGTTTTAGTAAAAATTTAAAACATCACTAACGTAGTTGTTTCCGATAGCATGCGACGGATGGTTTCGGCTTTCAAACTTCTTTTTAGTCTCTCTGTGGCCGATAATTGTTCTGGATCATCATCAATATATCTTTCTGGAATGTTTATTTTTTGTGGAAGTCCAAGCTAAAAATATTTAATATTTATTATATGATAAATATAACAACAACAAATAGTAATAATCTCTATATAAATTGCCATTGACTACAGTAATGATTATGCTTCATGAATGAAATTCTTGAAGCATAATCATTTGTTTGTGTGTAATGTAAATTTACTAATAAATTTTCTGTAAAATAAAATATGAGGAAAATTTTATATAGATTATTTTTATTCTACAAACTACTATTTGTATATAAAATCCAAATTCTATAAATCGTGAAAACCAATAAGATATTACCATGCTGAATTGTCTTTTCTAGTCAGATAAGCAGCAGTTTTGAGGAAAGCTGCATAATATGTACAGTACCGTACAATCCTCCATTTACAAACATGACTATCAAATATATAAATAACTGAAGCAAAGAATGAATCTAAATACTTTTTTATAAAATTTATTTAATAATTAACAACTCAATGAGTAGATAGTTTAATTTGAGAGGCTAAAAACAAATTTTCCCATAAATTACATTTCGGTGTTTCTACATTTCCTGCAATATACACAATTTTTAAATTATTTATTTTATTTCTTGTTTTTGAAAATATATCAAATTTTTAATAGTGTAGGGTAATGCTATGTCACCAATCCACCATTTTTTATGGATTTGTATGCTGAGTGATGTTTTCCCATAATTTCATGTACTTTGACATTTTNATTCTTTATATCTAAAATTTTCAATGAGTATATCCATCTGTATAAGAAATTATTCAGAAAATATTTGAAAAACATTAAAATTACATACATTTTTCTTACTTCTTCGATTTATTTTTATTTTTTTAATATTTTAAAAACGTTAATTATAATCTTTCTCAAAAATTCTAAAGAATTTCTTACACAGATGGAATTACTCATTGAAAATTTTAGATATAAAGAATAATTGAATTTACTATTTAAAAACTTCAACAGAATAAATTATGTGTATGTCAAGTCTGTTATTTAAAGCTTCGTATATAATATTTATATTAATAAACTTATTGCAATTTAAAATTTTCACGGTGTCTGATGCCAAGTTTTAAACTTAATCTACCAGAGAACAAATAAATACGCATCTACTCACAGATTTGTGCATTTATCGCTTACTTTAATTACTTTAACGCTTCATTACTTTTAATTATATATATCATATATGAAATCAATAACGATATTGATTTTTACATAAAAGAATTGAAGTGAAACGTGGAAGAAAAAAAAATAGGGAAATTTTCTTTTTTTTTTTTTTTTTTTTTGGAAGTCCCAAAAAGCATAAAATAAGAGGTTTGATTGTAATTTAATTTTAAGTATAAAAATTTAAAACTATATTAAATAAATAATATAAATACCTCTCTATCAATTATTTTATCATCAAAAACATCAGATTTTTTAATGGTACTTCTAACAATATCAGGAGTATTTGCTGTCCTCAAGCATCTTTCCATATCTACATCATCACATGATCTTAAACCACTCTATTTTAATAAATTTCAATAAAAATTTTATTTTGTTTGAAAGATATTTATGATCAAAAGAAATATTCAAATAATAAAAGAATACCTTAAAAAGTGGATTATAAGAAAAACCAGAAATAGTATAATGTCTTCTCTTATTCCTTCTTGAAGGACTAAGATCATCATTTGATACAGACTTTTCATCACTTATGCTACTCTCTTGAAAGTTTTGATTACTTGTATAGTTACCAAAAAGCCTTTCTTGTGCTGACATTGTCTGTAAGATTTAATATATTATTATCTAAAAATTAAAGTTTTATTTCTAAGAGTCAAAATAATTTGAATACCATATCTTGCTGTGAGGAAAATAGTGATGTTGGACGACTATACAAATTTGGCAAGAGCAGTGTCTGTTTTAATCTTTCCACTTCTAAAAATGAGAAACAGCAAATTTACTAAAATTTAGAGGAAACTTCTACTTTGAATAAAAAAGTAATAGAAACATTACAGATCAAGAAATAAAACAAAAATGATAATATTCAAGATATTTGGGGTTGATACATTATAATTTTCAGACCAAAAAATAACTAGAAAAATTATATCATATAATTAGGCCAACTGTAGTTTACTTATTACAAATAAATTTCCATAACTTACAATAGGATATGTAATAGCTTTATTAAGCTTTTGGTTACATATAAATTATTCAATTCATGCCAGATTTATATCAAATTTTTTAACATACAGGAACTTTAAAAATTTCTAAAGTACATTATAAAGATACCTTCTTCCACCTCATCTTCCTCTTCATATAAAAAAATTTCTGGTTCTTCTACCACCCAGACTAAAGAGTTATCATCATAAGTGACTTTCTTCTTATCTCGACCTCTGTTTCTACGTTCCGATTCTCTTTTCACAATTCGTACAGTTTTAATTTCACTAGGTTTATCTTTAGGTATGATACCTTTTAACAAAAACAAAACTACTGTAATTATAAATTTAAAATAATGATTATTGTTACATACATTATTGCATATTTTAAAATAACTTGCCATAAAACATTTTCATCCTATCATCTGCTTCACTTATATCTTGTGGATTATATTCTTGATTTGGTATATTTTGAAGAGATGAATGAGGATCTTCTAATCCGTTTTTCTCTTTTGTTGGCTGATTAAAAAGAAATCATTTTTAAATTAGAAATATTTATCCACATAGAAAACATTTAAGTACAGTTAACCCCTATTTACAAGCATTTGATTTATATGAATTTGATAAAACAATCAGTTTTGTTTTACATCTCTTCTCTATTTATTTTGACAAAATATTTAATACAATGAGAAGTAATAAACATCTGTGAGAACAAAATAGTCTAATTGTGAATACCAAAATAGTCAATAAGAATGAAATTTCTGCTCTATTTTTAGTGGCTTGTAAGTTCGTTTTCTTTGTTCCATTCCTTGTTATGTTGTTATGCTTGATAGGTAGTGCTCAAACAAGGTTATGCAATTTAGTGAGCTTTATCTCTACAGATCCTTCTATCAGTGATTACAATCTCATTAATTAAAAATCAATATTATTTTACTGTATTTTCATTTGTTTTTGCTTACTTATTTTGTTTTAACTAATTTGTTTTCTTACTATTAAATATATATCTGATAACTTAAGTATCTGATAATGTTGATTTGTTGGGCCATAACTTGGTTAAGTGTTTTTCAATATTTTTCTAATAGTGACACACCTAGCCTGGAAAGTTTTTTTGTCGCACCACTAGTTTTTATCAATGTAGTTCTTGCATTTTTATTCTTTCAGTAATAAGTAATAAATAGTAAATGATATAGTGTTGCTCAGCACTGTCTTTTGCAGCATGTTACTGTGCTGAATGATTTGTTAATTGACTGAAAACTACTGACATTGTTAATTAAATATATAAAGTAATTTGGATTACAAGTACTGTAGATGTTTAATCAAATTAACCAAGTCATGATGCAATAAAACCAGTATTGTCATTTTAAATATAATTTTGGATTTACTCTAATCTTATGTCATATTTGCGCTTCTCATTTTATGTTAACTCCTCTCATATTAGTGAATAATTTAATCAATGCTTTAAATAAAATGAAAATCACTGATTGATTGAAAGTACTAAAAAATATTTATCTATGTTAGATATGAGAACAAGGGATTATGAATAGGTGACTGAATTGTCAGAATGGTACAAATTTCAGCTATAAGAAATAATGATCAACTCATCTCTATTTACAAGATTTTGATTTATAGTTGATACAATATGACTATATGACTACTACTGACATTTTATCATACCCAAAAACAATTAATGTTTATACAATGCTTTAGAATATGACTTGCAAGCTATTCTGAGCATGTGCAAAAGCATTTGTTTTTCTTGAGTGGTAAGAATGTGATATATGTGATTCCAATCTTGTCATTGATTAGTTTGAAAATGCAACAATGAACAAAAAATCTGACAGATTAGCGTTTTCTGTGAAATGGATGCAATTTATTAAATCAAAGTTGCCAATAAGTCATGAATTTGTTTAAACAAAGTAAATCTGTGCCTATTGTGGTTTTGAGTGACAAAATGTTGTTAATAGTCATGTCATGTAAACCACCATTTGCGAGGAATTTTCAAGAGCAAGGTCACTCCTAAATCATGATCTTACAGTATTAAAATAAGAGATTTATCAGAATTATTATCGTTATTCACATATATCTAAATTCATATTATATATAATTATAATTTAAATTAATCTTATGTCTAAGTTCTAAATTTCTAAGATAGAAACCTATTTATCATTACTTTTTACAAATATTAATGTAAAAATTTGTTTGGAGTTTGTCTCTTTTTTGGAATTATCATTATTGAAAACAAATTTGCAATCAATTGACACAGTGACTTAAAAATAAATTTCTTAAAGATCAAAAAGTAATACAAAAATTTGTTACATTTCAGTTTTAGCAATAATTCAAACAAACATTTACTTAATTCTTCATTAAAGTTTTGAATGTGACATCTAGTTGTTTGTATAACGTTTTGCAATATATGTTTAAGCTATAAGGTTGGAATTGATGACCTTACTTATTTTTGAACATTTTATCATATTGTCATGGCCACATTAATAAGAATCCACAATGCATTGTGGTATTTTTACCTTGCCAGATTGCATTTTGGTTAATTATTAAAATAATCTCAACACAAATTTCACTTTGTGGTTTTACTGAATATGTGAAAACATGTGTATTTTTGAAAATGCCACAACATGAAATTTGAACTGTGGCTGTATCTGAGATGTTGGAATGCATTGTTGTTGACTTTTCACCCAATGAATGTTTTCAGTCTTTGAGCCTAACTATGCATTGCATTTTTCATTGTGCAATGGACAAGAACTTTAAAATTATTGTTATTCATAACTTGTTTTAATTGAGACATTGACTGCCATGTCAAAAAATTAAACTTTTGCCCTGGAGCCATGACTGTTATTCTTTTTATTATAATTAATAATTGCACATAATAAATCAACATAATAAACTTTCATTTTTGGCTCAAAATGATGGTTTAACCTAAGTAAGTTATTATTAGCTTACATGGCACCATGTGATTTTACACTATATGAGTCATTCTATATAGAAGTCTCAAATACAAACATTCATTAATCCAATTTTTAGATTAACACATTGACTATTAACTGTTGCACAAGACAAATACAACTCACAGTAGTTTGAGATCACAGTGTCATGTGAATTACATATCACTCCATTGCAAGTTTGTGTTTGAAGCTGCAAGGTTTGTTTATAACTTGCAATTTAATATTGAAACATAGTTAATGACATAGGAGACATAATGAGACTCATGTTAATGCTAATCGATTGCCAGATTATATTAGGCCATAATAATGTTTCTAATTAAATGTCAAGTAATTTGGCCTAGAGGTAAATGTTAGGCACCATCTCTTAATAATTTTATTAATTTAGAAGGTTCTAGAAGAAAAGAATTGGCCTGAAGTAGGTCTCAAACCTGCAACTCCCACTTGCTGTGCAGATGTGTTGAAACCTGCAACTCCCACTTGCTGTGCAGATGTGTTGCCAGTTATGGTCCTGGTTACTCACAGTATAGTTATGTCTAAATTAATGGTTCGGGAAGCAAAGATTTGGCAGAGGTTTGGGTAGCACAATTGATAACATGTCTGCAAAACAAGTGGGAGTTGTGTGTTAGAATCCTGCTTTTTTCTGGAACCTTGTAAATTAATTAGTAAATGTCAGTTTAATTATAATTATTAAATTTTTGTCCTTTTTCAACTAAAACTTGAATAAATTTACAATGAAGATTGCCTTGTGTTGTGTGTATGAACTATATAGTGTTCAAAAACGACAAAAATAATCACCGATATGGTTTCAAGAAAGTAAAATTATTAAATTTATCAAGCGATTGAAATGCCTGTTTCTAAGCCAAATTACTTGAAATTTAATTAGTAATTATTAGAATTATTATAGCCCAATGTAATCTGACAATCACTTGTCATTAAAACTTATCTTTCAATTGTAGCATGCATGCTTCAGAAAATATCTGGTATTTTATAAAGCAACTAAAACCATCTCATTTCAAAACTTCATTTGTGGCTATATTGGCTATATCTTTGAAAATTAAGGCAAAATCATCAAGTTGTTCATTTATGAATAGTGCTATATAGCGAAAATTTCCTAATAATTTTTAATGTCATTAAAGATTAAATATAATTCTTACAGAATTTATTTCTTCGGCATTAGCATACAAAGGAATATCGTTTCCGTCGGTTTCTATAGTTTGAGAATGACCGGCTAAATTACGAGTTTCCATTGTATCTAAATCAGTTTCCATGTATGAGCTTTGATGTTTCTTTCGAATTGGCAATGGAATCGAACCTAATGGAAAGAAATATTTTAAAATCATAATCAGTGTTAATAAACTAATGATTACTTTTTCTTTAATTAATATCTCTTATTAGTTTATTAATTAAATTTATATACAGTATGTTTTTAATCATACATATTTGAAAAATTATTTATAGATATGTAAAATGTTTAATGACAAAGAATTAAAAAGTAAGAATTTCATAAAAATATTTACTATGAAATTAGAATATAAATAAATTATTATGAGCAGTAGTGCTTAACAACAGGAATATGTTCCAAGAAATACATTGTTAAGCAACTTTTATTGTTATGCAAATATAGTACTTAGACAGACCTATGTGGTATAGTGTACTACATTGTGTTACATATAGATTATATAAGTATTTATACATCTAAATAGAAAAAGTATGACTAGCAATAAATTTTTCAGTTCCATTATACAGTAATCTTATGAGACCTCTGTCAAGTGAAATAATGTTAAACAGCACATATCTGTTAAATAGGAATCCCCATTAATGCAAATTGGAAGGGGGAGAAGAAAAGATGAGTTTATACTAATGGAGTTCTCATTAAAAGGGTATCTTGTTTAAAACTTTTTCTTTTACACTTTTCCATTGTTAATCTGAAACATGAAATTGAAATATATTCATATTCAATATTCAAAATAATAAAAATTAAGAGTGTTTCTGATGACTGGCTTTTCTGTTTAATATCTGAGAATAAATTAATCTGATTATGATCCAAGTCAACAATAAAAACTGCATTACAGTATTCTGATTCTGTTAGTTATAGGCCTAGTTTTGTAAAGAAATAATCAATGGTATGGAACTATCCATAAATGATGTCCATATTGGAAGACAGAAAGGTGGTTATGACAAGTTGGACAAAGTCAGACGGGAGGGGAGGTGTTAAACTTCAATGGATGTCCATTTTATTTCATTAAATTTTATACAGTTTATACATTTTATTATTCATAAAGTAGTAAAGATTTTGGGGAGTTGGGTTTTGTTGGACATCCAAAGAGGGGAGGGGATTATGGAAACTTGGACAAACTATGAGGGAAGGAGAATAAAAATTTCAAGAAAAATGTAGACATAATTTATGGACAGCCCTAATTCTGTTTCTTCCTGCAATTATAGTTACTTCTTACAAAATTATAAATGGAATGAAATGACTTAGCAAGATTATAATGCATGTTTTCATCAGAAAAAATGGCACTGAGCATTGCAACTGACTTGGAAGTGTGAAGGGAAAGCCAATTTTTCTTCTTCTTCTTCTCCTCCATTGGAATCTTCTTCCCCAAATTCATTGCATGTTCCATTGGTTTCTTCCTCCACAGCACCCAATACTAGTGCTGTGCAATGCATTGATGTGACATCGACACATCAATGTTTTTGTTCGTCAATGCATCAACCTTCCGATGTTTTTGAAACATCGATCCTGAACTGATGTTAGTAATATGTGAATTTTGATTCATCGATGCATGCAGTTCATTCTTTGTTCCTAGTGTTACTACCTGTTCGGTTTTCATCCGGACAGTCCGGGAATTTCGTAGAAATTGTGAAATTGCGATGAAACAAAGTTCTTGCAAATATGTTTACAAATTTACACTATTTTAACAGTGAACAAACTCACACTCATTGAAACTCATCCGCAACTCTGCCATGTTAGTCTGTTTACGCCAACTTGTGGCGCGCAACCTGTCGACTTTGAGGCCGGATGGCCGAGCGGTCAAGGTGGCAACCTACTGCTCTGGGGGACCCGGGATCGAATCTGGACAGGTCAAGGAATCCCCAGGAATTTTTCAGGGGTGGTCCGTTCAGATATGTCAGGCCCTGTCCCTCACCACCCGGTCGCCCCATTGTGGGCCTGGCCGAATCCATAATGGGCCTGCTATAAGAGGCCCTCTTAGTGCCCACAGGGCGGAAAGAGTAAAAATAAAACCCATTGACTTTTTTTTTTTACATGTACGATTGTACATGTATCAAATAGAGCTAAATTATCTATACCTGTTCTTTCTTAATTTAGGTTACTTACGTTACTCCTACACAAGTCCCTAGTCCCTAACTGTAACTGATTTAGAACCGGCATGCACGTTATTCTTTGCATTGTAAAAATGACATTGCGCATGCGTCAGAAACTTCTGTTCGAACAAACCTGGCCTGCTGTCCGGGCCAGTGATTTTGAAAAGGTGGCAACACTATTTGTTCCACCTCGTGCGACGTGTGTTAGTATTCGGTATCATGGCTACTTCTGGTGCATGTGCGAAGCATTCTTCCGAGGTTTGGAAATATTTTAAGAAAAACAAGAAAGGTGACAAGGCTCAGTGTTCGGTTTGTCTTAAATGGCTTAAAGTTACTGGCAACACCACGAATTTCATGCAGCATTTGAATCGCCATGGAAAACTACTCCGACATAAAAGAAGTCACGAGGAAATAGACAAACTGGAAGACCAGGCTGAAGTTGACAACTACCAGAATGGCCTAAATAGGCTTAGCAGCGCATGTTCGTCAACGTCGTTGTCTACACAGTCAACAATCAACGAATGCTTTAACCGATTGTCTGATTTTACTGCTGGTAAGTGTAATTATATTACATTTAATGAGTGAATTTATCAACTCCGTGACCACTGTTCATAATTTTTAGATAATTTATAATCTAAATACTGTATATCTATATGCCTTTGCTTAGGAGGACGTAAGGCTGAAGCAATCACGAAGGCACTAACTTTATGGTTAGTAAAGGATAATCGTCCTGTAGATATTTTGAGCGGAGAAGGGTTTAAGAAGTTCTTGGCAACAGTAGCAACAAGATATCAAGTTCCACATCGGACAACGATTACAAAGCACATAGACAGTTATTATGAAGCTGCAGTTAAATACATGTGGAATAAATTTGCCAATATAAAATTTTGTGCACTGACTTGTGATGAGTGGACAGACACCCTGAACCACTGAAGTTACATGGATACAACTGTACACTTCATCAAAGATTTCAAACATACATCATACGTGCTAGGAATGACTTATTTAACTCAGTCACACACAGCTGAATACTTGTGTTCTGTGCTGAAGGAGTTGATTGTTTTTTGGGAAATAGACAAATCTAATATTGTAGCTTGTGTTACAGATAATGCTGCAAATGTTAAGAAATCTATTGAACTATTTATTGGTAAAGAAAAGCATGTTTCTTGCTTTGCACATACATTAAATTTGATGGTGCAAGGTTCCTTAAGACAAGAACCTGAACTGAACATAATATTAGACAAGGTAAAGTCAATAATCACATTCTTTAATCAAAATAAAAATGCAACACAGGAGCTTGAAAAGGAACGACTAAGAACAAACTCATCACAGAATGAAAAAGGTTCTGTGACATTAAAATTAATTCAGCATGTTGAGACTCGATGGAATTCGTATTTCTTGATGATTGAGAGATTTGTACTACTAAAAAATTTTGTTACACTAACATTGCAAAAGTTTCCAGGGGCACCCGACATGCTCTCTGGTAGAGAATTAAGTGCTTTGAATGATGC